GGGGGGGGGGGGGTGCAGGATGAATTGAGTCCAGAGCCCATGAGAATAGTCTGTTATGGGTGTTGAGAAAAAAAAATATTTTTAATACAAAAAATAGTTGAGGATCATCTTGCGCAATTTCGCAATTAAGGCTGCAAGTTGACCTTTGACACGGAACCGTTAAGACGTCTGAAATGGGCAATCGCGAAATTCGTATACGCACGACACGCGTTTCCCTGCGGTGGCAGTGACCCATGACCCGGATTAGAACTGGGATAAGACGGTGGAGCACTGCTAAGGGGCTGGAGGTTGAGTTGGGGTTAGGGTAGGACACCTTAGCAATCGATTTTACTCCACACGGGTCTCCCCGTCGCGATACGTCTAACCTTATATACGCCCTTTTACTTGTCTATTTCTCTTTCCATCCTTTCTCATTCTTTGAGGCTACCTTACCTCTTATACGCTATTAACGTTACTTCCGCCGGATCCCAAATCCCTTCTTCTTGGTACCTATTTACGTACGCGAACTTTGCCGACCATCGCACTCCCCTCGGGTATTACCCTGGATTGACTCTGCACTCCTATTACTTGTGGATCTAGACAGGTTAGACTAACGAGATCGGTTACCTAGATGTAATACCGTCTAATGGTATCTACTTTACCTACCGAGATTCAAACTTCTCTATGATGTTTGAGCTTGGTCGGGGATTCCCCTTCATTTCGCTGGATGATCTCTCGCTTAGTTCTGGTTATATGTTGCGGTGTCAGGGTTCGATTATCTAAAGTAGCTAGAAGAGAGGAGTAAGGTATTTTTTGAAATTTCGAAGATTTTTTTTGGGAGGGGTGGACAGGGGTAATGATACGACAGAGATGCTGTAAACAATATTACCTTGGCTTATGTTTCTCTAGTATATACATACCGTGACCTCACTATTTTATTTAATGGACTGAAATTACTTTGGCGTATATAAATTACTCATCGTATGCTTCTTTTTTCTGTTACAGTTTCCTAGACAAAGTAGAAATCGTTAAACAATCCGACTACACGCCCACAGAACAGGTGAGCATGACATTTGGATCATAATGATTTACGTTCTCGTATAAGATTCCTAAATCGCACGTGTCCTAATGTCAATTGTCTTTTTCAGGATATCCTAAGGTGTCGAGTCCTCACTTCCGGTATCTTTGAAACGCGGTTTCAAGTCGACAAAGTAAACTTTCAGTAAGTCCCTGATCATTATTATTTTACATTTCATTAAACGACTTGTATATATACCGTACCGGTTTTACCTTCTATCATAGAGGAACAATCGAATACTTCTCCATTTCATCTCCGTTCATTTTATTTGCAGCATGTTCGACGTGGGTGGCCAGCGAGATGAAAGGAGAAAATGGATACAGTGCTTTAACGACGTGACGGCCATCATATTCGTAACAGCCTGTAGTAGCTACAACATGGTGCTTAGGGAAGACCCAACTAAGTTAAGACTCAGGGAAAGTCTTGATCTGTTCAAAAGTATTTGGAATAATCGGTAAGACGTTGCTCGCATCTTGGAGGAAAATTCGAAATTATTCTGTCGTTTCACAATCGATTGGTTATATTTATATATCGTTATATTTATATATCGAAGAAGTTATCTTCTTTGTTTAGGTATACATAAAAGAGTCATTGACTCACGTAGTCACGTGTCAGAATAAATCGTTAGGATGATCACGTGATTATTCGTAGCACTTTATACTCCGAATTTCTAACTATTGTTTGTTCCATTCTCAGATGGCTCCGCACAATATCCGTGATCTTGTTCCTAAACAAACAGGATTTGCTCGCGGAGAAGATCAAGGCGGGTAAGCACAAATTGGAGGATTACTTCCCGGAGTTCGCACGGTATCAGACGCCGATCGAGCCAGGCGTCGTGGCGGATCCCTCGGAGCCTCCGGAAGTCATACGGGCCAAGTACTTCATCAGAGATGAGTTTCTCGTAAGTTTTTAATATTCGAGAGGTCCCATTGAACTGGCTCATCGCCGTCGTGAATGTACCACCTTAATCATGGATTTTTAATGTTAATATATTATTGTCATTGCAGCGCATAAGCACAGCAAGCGGCGACGGCAAGCACTACTGCTATCCACACTTCACGTGCGCAGTCGACACAGAGAATATCAAGAGAGTGTTCAACGATTGCCGAGACATCATCCAGCGGATGCACCTGCGCCAGTACGAGCTCTTGTGACTTCGTTCCTGCCGCCATATCTCGCCAAGAAGAAGTTACCTTCTTATGGGAAACGTAGCGCGACATCGTGGCTCGCGGCACGTGAAGATAAACGGGAGTTCAAGGGCGGCGGGGTTCATCCTTGAGACTCCTTGGGCGGGTTAATGCGATTTTTCTTTGCGGAGCCCTACCGGTTCCCGAATTATCGCGCGCGATGCCGATGAGAGCACGATCGTGAACGTGTTTCCAAAGGTTTTCCGCGAATGTCCTCGAAGGAAGCTCTGCGAGCCTGGAGAGGAGTGTGAACGTGGGCGCGAAACGGTCCAGGGATCCTCTTCTTCTGTTCTCCCCAAGTGTTTCCGCTCGCTGGTGGGGATGGAAGCCTTCTTCTCGCACAGAAACAATTTAAGTTGTCGACGTACAAGCAACACTTTTGCCCTCGTTGACTCCTTTCCGATCGGTTAACACCAAAATATTTCAGGCACGCTTCGATCGGTCGATCGGCTTTAGCTTTAGTTGCGAACGGGCGTGCCCGGACGTTCAGTTTTTGTATTATCAGTTTTCAGGTGAATCGCTCCCTGATTGTACTTCCGGTCGGTACATGCCGAACGTTTTATTTTTCTTACACGCCGACGTTTCGCGAAGGTATTGGAACATCGTCGCTTACTCTCATTCACGGGGTCATCCGCGTTAACATCATCCCGGATGGACGGTCCTAGTCCTGATCGATGCGATTTTTATTAATCCACGGCACGCCCGGCGCAGGATCGTCGTTTAGAGTAATATCGTCACGAAAAATTTACATTAGCAAGTACGTAAACAACCATTCGGTGGGAACCTCACGTCGTCGGATCTTTGTTCGACCTGATTATTATTATTATTATTATTATTATTTTTCTTTCGAATCTCATTTATCTCAATCATTTTGCAAACAGTCGTCCGGGTATAGAATCTCTTCTTTCTATTGTATTCCCTTTGTTTTTAACGTATTACTCTGTTTACCTCTTATTCCTTCTCCTCTGTCCTTATTCCTTTGCCAGTCTTATCCCATGTGTTATTTTCTCTATCCTTATCCATTTAACAGTCTCGAGCAACATTCACTGCTCTCCCTGTCTCTCCTCACGTCGCCAAGTCCTTCTCCTTTATCTCTACTTAATCCTCCTATCCTCTCCTCTAGCTTCCTCGTCCCGGCCACTTACCCCCCAACCTCCGAACCTCGTATGACTTTTACCAAAATGACCCGATCCGTAGGAGTCTCAGCTGCACCTTTTTACGAGAAGAGTATTTTGTGAGATTTTACAGTATTTCGAAGAGCGTTTTAATTGTATAACTATGTATCGAATATGTACAGGGTGACCGTCCACCGACTCGGGTCTTCTCAGCATCGTATTCTCAATACGTTCGTTCATTGCTTCTCGTTTGTTTCCATTCACTTGTAATAATCTTTCATTCGTCATCAGCGCCACGTCTACCTTTACGTTTCACGGCATACTACCAATTTCTCTGTTTTCTATCGTATCGGTCCCCCAAGCTTACGAAACGAACCTCCCAAACGTAAACGATTTTCGTCCCGATGAACTTTAGAGTCAAACGCGAAAAAGAACAAGCGAAAATCCAAATATGCGATTTGCTCCAGCTCGTACGCTTTTCAGTCGCGAATGAAAACTCCATAGGCGAAGGGTAAACGCAATCAGTAGTCTAATTAACTTATACAAGGAATGTCAATAGAATTTCGAAAAAGTTCATCCGGCATATTTAACAGTGCCCCCTCCCTCCCTCCCGATCACCCCTTGTACACTATTCTCTTGTGTCTGAAAGAATGACCTTTCATACGGTTCATACATCGGCACTCCGTGGACACCCTGTATATGGTAAGCCTCCTCCCTCCCCCTTCGACATTTTCCTTGTATCTTTAAAAGATATACAAAGAGAAAAGGAAAGATGAGGAAGAAGATGTGAGAAAAAAACTATACCTTTTGTTTAACAATACCGAGAGATCAGATATCGCGTGCATCCGTGTATGATGCACGGGCTGCACGAAGGAGTGCGCATTAACTACGTAATATCTACTTTTATATAGGTAACGAGAGTTTGACATCAAATTAAAAGAAAATATAGGAAAGGAAAGAAAAGGCGTTTCACGAGGAATAACGAGTCGAGGTATAAAAGGAAATAAAGTAAACGTATAATAAAGTAAAAATTGGCTAAGAGAAGTACGGTGTAAGAGTATAAGATTAAGAGTACGAGTAAGAGTAAACAAAATGAAAAATGAAGTAAATTAATTAACATTGCCATGCTCTTAACTTCGTATGGGAACGCGAGATGCGCGTGTTTACGTACGTACGCGCACGGCTATGCGCACGGGAATCCGCGCACTTTCACGCACAATATTGGTTACTGCGCATGCGCGCGGATCACGTCACGCGTGTATTTTTCTTTTTATACATATATACGAATATATGTATTTATGTATGTGTATATATATATATAAAACACGATACTAATATATTTGGCAAGCCATAGTTTGCAACTTTTTATATATATATATATGTATGTACATATATTTGTTGCTAAAGGATACTTTGGGGACGATTTCATTTACGAAGTTGCCATGTCGAGGACAAGTGGCTATTTTGGGGACGTCCTCAAAGATTTTCCAGCGTAATGACTGCTTTGAGGACCATAAAGCGGACTGTCACACAAAATTTGTTTATATTTTTTTTCAATGTTTGGCATCCAGTATTTGCGATGTGCTTAGAAATGTTTCGTTAGGTTAGATTAGGTCAGAACTCCAATGCTGTGATGTCCCAAGGTAGTTTTAAAAAAAATATATTAGCTTGCTATTGTGAACGCCCCTTAATTTTTCGTGTCCCCAAAGTATCTCTTTGGCAAACGTATATATGTATATATTTATATTACTTACGAACTTTTACTTTTTTACCGTAAAGTCGTGAGAGACATGTGAGAAGAAAACTTCCGTGATGAAAGAGAGAGAGAGAGAGAGAGAAAAGAAAGAAAAGAAATAGAGAATTGCAGTTGTTGCTTCGAGTTGTAATTATACAAAAAAATGGCTGCGAGGGTTAACGTTGATGTTCGCTAAATGCACAAACAAAATATAATATATTCGAAAGAAAACGGGCCATCGGTCGTATAAGTCAATGATAATGCCATATTACAAGTTATAGTGATGGTTAATGAGGTTTTTTTTTTTAGATCGACAGACCAAAATGGAAACCTAATTTACAAACGCACGACGATCGCGAACTACTATTTAATTATGTCGCTTCTTTAGTTTTCTGTACAAAAAAGTATTCTTGAGACTAACGCGCAAAATTTGTTTGAAAACAAAAGAAAGAAATGAAATTCGTTCAATGAGTAGCCTCGCGCGAACAAGCAAGTGGCACCGATTTTTGTTATTGTTATCGCGTTTCAACAGACTTTAGCCTTTAGTTGTAAGAATTGCGTCGCACGAACAACAAAAATGTCGAACCACGAAATTTGAACAGTTTTACGGTCGCCGGCCTGACACGTTGACAGGACGAAAGAAAGAAAAATATTGAACGAAAAAGAAAAGTAGAGCAGCTGTGCTCGTCGTTTCGACTTCACGAATAAGTCTTAAGTCGTGACGTTTATCGCACAACGTTTCCCAAATTAGCTGTGACACGTGTCGTGTACGGTTCTAATTAGTTTTCCGGTATATGGAAAAGGGACGTAAAAGGAGAGAATAAAAAGAAGAAGAAGAAGAAGAAATGGTAAACGATTGTCAAAATCGTTATGTAAATTTCTTCTTTACCGCCGGAGTAGTTAATTCCCTTTACCACGTTGCGCTTGGGATATGGAGCTTTTTTAAAGATCTTTGTTCCGGCTACTGTAATCCGGGCCAATAACAATGGAACGGGGGTTGGCAGATTCTTGCGCAATCAAAGCACACACGCACTAACACTCGAGAAATATTTGAATATTCTGCGGCCATGTTCCAAGCCCATCGCGTATCAGCGTTATCTATCAATTGAATGTCTATTTTTCACGTTGCGGTGTCTGTTGATTTTTTTTTGTCCATAACTATCATTTCTCCTTCGTTCATTTTCTTCTCTTTCTTTATCTTCTGGCGTTTGCTACTACTACCTTCGGTCGAGGGGTGTCAGAGCACCTCGTTAATCGTTGTAATTTATATCGTTGCTAAGTTATGGCGTCGTAGTCAAAGAGTCGCGGAATCATCTCCATTTACTATTAGCCGCCATTGTCGTTATTATATTTTCTCGTTATTCGATTGGTCGCTTGGCGACCGATTATACTGCGCATGCGCGAGGTTTCATTGCATATGCATATATATACATACGTATAACATATATTTTTTCGTTTCCTTTGACAAAATGTACAGGGTGACTCGAAAGTGACTCTAGGTGTTAATTGTACTTACACGGTGTAATGTCGTTTATCGGACGATTGCTAACCTTAAACTAACAGCAGTCGTTAACTTCTTTCGCGCAATCGATATAACATTCGAAAAGTCCTAACTATGGGCAATTATTATTTTTCGAATCGCCAGACGAATCGACTCGTTGAAAATTGCATGAGAATAATTTTTTTTTATCGTATCAATAAACCCTCGAGTCACTCTCGTCATCTCCAGCCTCCTATACACTGTATGAGGGACGTGTTAAGTGATCTCTTACGTTCGACGTAAGACGAGCATTGAAATATATATGATGCAAAAGTATATAAATATAGATAGATATATGACATCGTTTTGAAGTAGTCGCACGAGTGACTCCCGCGATCTTGTTGCTAAATAATTCAATCGAGTCTCTTGGAGATTCAATGGAAACAGGTAAGGCGCGTTACGTCCACGTAAATGCCTTGAAGATGGACGAGCGTCACTTGTGCCACTGGAACTTACCCGATTAATAAATCTAACGAGTAAAGCTCGGACGGTACTCGGTACAGCTGCATCTTGATATTCTCATGAAAGAATTTAACTAAGTTCATCAATAATTGCTAGCAACGGCTTAACGAGCAATCATGATGCAGCTATAACGTTACTGATCCAAACGATACTTAAGTCCTACGCCATTGGAGAGACGTATTGATGTGTTTATGTAGCTGTATTATAAGTACGCTCGGATTTCGTGAATGGGGCTTGCTTCATGGTACTTCTTTTCCATAAAGGAATTAACGTTCTCGAGTGACAGTTGCGCGTCGCACTCATAGCTTTTCGCGCAGTCTACTCAGTGGACTGTTGTTAGTGAGGGCGCCACCGTCGCTCGAGACGCATTTCAACATGGCCGCCGAGTCGGGCCAACATGAAAAAAGATCCGATAACGGAAAAAATTTGAATTCGAGCAAATTTCCGCCAGCCCCATCATTAAGGTCATCCTTCGGATGAGAATTTGCCTGATCGGTTCTCGCGACGGTTTACTTATTATACTACTGTACACAATATTATTATATAGATCAGGCCGATCTCTCGTCCGTGGCTCGGTCTTATAGTCGTCTGTATTAGCTGCACGCCACGGCCGTGAAAATCTGTGATTCAAATCAAAATTAAAACTTTCGAACGAGATATTTACGTTCCGACGCCCTGTATCTGTCTGTCGTATGTCGATCGTAATAGTCGTAAGTTATTTAATTTAGCTTGTACTGAGAAAGATTAGGAAAAGATGAGAGAGAGAGAGAGAGAGAACGACGGTTCGACGAATGAAACTGTAATGAGATATATCGAATGGTAGTGTGAGTGAAAGTGTCAATGAGATATATAAGAGAGAGAGAGAGAGAGAGAGAGAGAAAGTGCGTATGTATGCCAAGAACAAAGTACAGTCTTTTTCAGAGTAATTTTACTCGCTCGATTATAATTATCCATTTTCCTCGTCGTTTCCAATCACAGACCTTTTCATATCGATTCTTATTACCACCGTTATACCCATTATTTCAATGTACTTTAATTACGCTATCTGTCTCTTAAACCGATCGCGTATATTTTCTCTTGCTGTTTTTCACGTACCAAGGTTACGTCGCCTTTCGTCTATCGGCAGATTGATCTTCGGGAAACGATCGTGGACGATGGTAACGAGCGAGAAACGAAAGGAGAGCCAATGAGAGTCGCCCGTTAAGACGTGTCCGTTATAATTCGTTGTTGCGTGTCTCTTAGAAACGAAAAGAAAAATGATGTCTAGACGATGAATTAATAATGAATTAAAGTTAACAATGAAATTAACAAGATCTTACACACAGTCTCGCACCTACGGGTCCGTGATACGTAGGCGTACCTGTACGACGCACTATCACACAACACAGATAACAAGATAACGATTTTAACAAAGGCTATCTTAGGAACGAATAACACTATTGGTATAGAGACTGTCTCTTAAGGGTGAAAGGTGGTTGCGTTGCATGTCAGACTGAAAGTGAACGCGACGGCGTGTCAAAAGTTTTAGGGATGAACATTTTTATAGGGACTTGTGAAATCGATGCGCGATCCGAATCGCGATATTGTCCTGTTTAATGAAAAAAAAAAAAAAGAATGAGAGAGAAAGAGAGAGAGAGCGATAATAGTAAAGAAGGAAGGAGACGCAGAGACCGCGCGAAACCGTTAAACTTTAATGTGACAGGAGGAATTTTTTTTTTTTTTTCAAAATATATTTTTCATTTTTTTTTTTTGTTACACCACTGCGTGGATGCAAGAGGAAAGGATAAAAAGCGTACATTTTCGTCTTCTTCTTCTACTTCTTGTACTGTGTACTCGTCGCCCGTGGCGTATGCGCGTTAAACGCGACGCTTCTTCGTCCCTCGAAAGAGATAAATAAATAGATAAATGAATAAGGAATCAATGTTACGGGCGAAACCCCTCTCTCTTCCCACCTTCTTTCATTAGATCTCTGGACTCGCGGCGGGTGAGTCGCGCCGACGCGCTGACTGTCACGGTACGGATCGCGTGACTAACCTATACGCTATACCTTCTTTTTTTTTTGCAGGCGCGAAGCCAGATAACGACGCTGGTCTCTGCACGGTTTCATTATATGTATATGTGTGTATTTATTATACATATATGTATATGAAATTTTGTACCGTAGCGACCTGCGCCTATGTGGTTCGCGAGGGATGGCACTTTCCGACGGTGTTCTAGCGTTTAACGAGTATAGTGGGTAAATAAGAAAAAGAAAAAAAAATACAAAAAACTATATTTCATTCTCATTCTGTGATGACTGTCTGAATATAAAAAAATGTTTACATGAACTTAAGCTAACGACTAATCGAACTAGAGGATAATGGTTAATTAACAATCGTTGTACTAATTGCGCGCATAGAGAGAGAGAGAGAGAGAGAGAGAGAGAGTGAGAGTGTTGCAGAGTGACAGAGGGAGAAAGACAGAGAGAGAGAGAGAGAGAGAGAGAGAGAGAGAGAGAGAGAGAAATCATGAAATAAAAAAATCTTAGATGCTAAGGTCGTGAGAAAAAAATATATAAGCGACGCACGTGTGGACGGTGATGAGAAGTGGTGTATAAGGACGGGCGGGATGGTGAGGGTGCGGACGGAGGTAGATGATACCGGACACACAAAATAACATTAACGAGAAGAGGGCCGACACTGTCGAGAGTCACTATTATATAAATGGAAAGATGCGGAATGAGAATTTCCTTTGTGAGAGAGCGAGAGAGTAAAAGAAAAATAAGGCAGTATAATTTATACACCATATATAAGTTTAGTCGTTTATCATTGCTTTCGAGGATATAAGAGTTATGTGTATAAATTATTATGTGTAACTTTAAAAACAAAAACAGAGTCATTTAGTAAATTTTAAGCGTATATATATAAATATAAATAAATATATATAATATATTATATATATATATACATACACAGAAACACATATATATATAAATATATTATAATTATGAAATGATTACAAAAAAAAAAAAGAGAGAGAGGAAGGAATAAGAAGCAAACGCTGCGAAGCCACTGTATCATACGTTTGTGTAACTAAAATAGTAATGATACGATTATAAAAAATTATAACGATACAATAAATACTTACCGTATGTCTTATATAAATTGCTAATGCTTGTCTCGCGATGCTGATCGATCAAACTTTAATTGTCGCGATACATTAAATTCCGAGACTTTCTGAGCGCTGTGTCAATTTATTTATTTAATCGGTACAGACAATTGGTCAATTACGTACAGCAGACCACACGTACAAGCGAAGAAGCTTTATTGAGCTCTTATAAACTTTTGGTAAATAAATATTAACGTTAATGTCCGATCGGTATTAAATGTTTCTTAATCGGTGATCATAGGATTGTGTGTGTCTCGTGTCCAAGTTTTATCCCAAATATTTAACGGACCGTAATGTGCCTCTTTAGGTACATTAATTGCGCTTTGGACTCCAAGTCTGCAAGTTCCGAAACAATCGGCGCCATTTGGGATACGTGATTCTCGTAATTAGATCCTGCGAAAGATAATGATATTTCGTAGAGACGAGGAAAGAGAAACGTGTAAAGATTATTGTGCTTACCTGTATTTAACCTTTTCTCTCCGTAAACTACTTTGCCGTCGAATTCGTTTACTGGTACCTTTATATCTGGACCCACTTGCTGGATGGTCACGTTCAGATGTTCTTCGATTTCTGCCAAATACTAAAACGTACCGATATGTTGTAGCGAATTGTGCAATTTTAGAAATTTTATATCACGACTACTGCAATGGCTGTCTTACTCTCAGCTCGTTGTACCAGATGCAACAGCCTCCCTGATCAGTTAGATTTGTATTTTTGCAGTTGCGACCACGCGATGAACACCATTCGCCGTGGTACCATACTTTTTCTGGGACTGTACTCACTAATGATATTGCCAATCCCATACGCTCGGCTCTTCCCACTCTGCCTATGCGATGAACGTAGTTTGATTTCTCATCAGGCAATGTCATGTTGATCACTGTAATACAGATGGTTCTTATTGTTTTATTGTATTGTCTTGTTTGGTATTGTTTGATTATACGATTCTACGTACTGAATGGCAAGCCACTAATGTCTAGTCCTCTGGCTGCAACGTCAGTGCAGATTAGAAATTTAACTTCTTGATTCTTAAACTTTTCCAAATTTGCCTTGCGCTCCTGGGGCTTCCGGTCTCCGTGAAGACAGACGCAAGTGAATTCACCGCTGTTTAGGCTCTTCAAGTAACGCTCAAGGTTGTCGCAGTCGAGCTTGGTGCGACAAAAGATTAGCGCGCGATCCATTTTGTGCTCCCTTATTGCCCGTACGCAGTACTCGCCTTTTAGGATCTTTACAGCTTCCGAAAGGGTCTCTGAAGATTATTTGTTTAATTGAAGATTATAAACGAATTCGGATAGCAAGGGTAGAGCAGAGGTATCTACCAGCAGTGTTGTTTCCTGGCTTCACATTGTCTCTGTAATGAACTCCGTCAGTTTGTATGTGGTGTTTTAAATTTTGCCAGGATTTGTCACTTTGCGGATCTACCATAACCACCACGTGATGAACGGTTTCTGGTACGGCATCCTCACCCTTCAGATCTACCCACGTGGGAAAATGCATTAGACGTTCCTAAAACGAAATTTTGTTTAGTATTAATTATTATTTAGTAATTCTTCATTTAGATTTGATAGTATTTACCGCCATTTTCTTCACTTCAAAAGCATGAAGAGTTGCTGAGCAAACAATCATTTGCAACCTTTTACCATCACTAGTGATTTTTGGAATTTGTCTGTGCAATTTTTCAATCAATTCTCCGTATCCCTGCTTTAGTAGACCATCTGCCTCATCCAGTACGAAAAATCTATTTTCAAAAGATCATTGTCATTATTTATAAAATTATAATGCTTTAATAATTGTTAGAGACTTACCTACAATGAGTTAGTGATAGGTATCCACCATGAATAAGATCCTCTAAACGTCCCGGAGTACCTACAACTATATCCACTCCAGAATTCAACGCAGAAATCTGATCCTTTACATTGACTCCACCGACAACCAATAATTCTCGAATTTTCGGATCTTTCAAGTGTGCCTTGAACTAATGATTACTTCTGTATAAATTACTATAAATTTAATTATATGTGTTATCTACCTTTTGTATCTGATTATAAGTCTGCTCTGCAAGCTCTCTGGATGGTTCGATCACAATGGCTTGAGGAGCATTGCTCATTGATTTACCACTGGATGCTGAGTCGTGACTGCTATTGATAGGATTATGACGGATGTGATCCTTTGATACGGAAGCAAGAGCCACATAACCCTTAGGTGGTTCATATTTGAAAGACTGTGCTCCAAAATTAAAAGACATTTCTGCATTCTTGAGAACAACTGCAGGATAGAAAGTTTGAGACTTCTGTTGGGCATTTAGAGTGAACGCAACACCGAGATCAACGCCATTTTTAGTGAATTTTATCTGGCCATTTGTGAGATCTAAAAGGCAGCCTATGACGTCGTGCATTCCAAAAGCCTCGCCGTAATCGTCGAATTGTCTGGCATTAGACTTTTTTCCTGTACCACCAAAACCCCAACCAAACTTATCAGTTCCTAAATCCAAGTTTGCTTGACTGGTCGACCAGCCAACACGACATAGTCCTTCATCAGTAACAGTTGCCTCGTAGTAATATTTCCCCTCTCCTTGAACTCCTTTATTTGCGCGGCACCCATGCCATTCTTTTTGTTCTCGACTCTGGCATCTTAGACCATCAGGAGTTACAGCTAGAGCTCTTCCTCTATCAAAGAGGCTGAGGCTCCAATGAGGAGCTGGAAAGTCAAGTTATTGGAAATTCTTTGGGCTTATATGACATCATTTTTAAACTACATACATGTTTGTACACTCTTTCCTGTCCCCATTCCTTTTCCAGACTCTATATCCTTCAATGTTTCCCACACAGTTTGCAAGATAGGCAGACAAAAGGCACCAGTTTTACCACTGCCAGTTTCTGCTGCCATAAGAACATCGCCACCACCCAGAATTAATGGAATAGCCTCAGCTTGGACATCAGTTGGTAACCTTAAGAAAATATTATTTTCCTTATGCATATTAAGATTAAATCAATGTGTTTTAGACTCCATTTGATATCAGAGTTTCAAAGCTTACATCCAATCCATTTCCTCAACTGCCTTAGCTATCTCAGGCAATACGCCCATCTCTGCAATTTAAAAAGATAAGTTCAAAATCACTCATTTCATAAATAATATCCAAATACTTTATTATTGTCATGAAATATTGTGTTATTTTTTTATTAACCTTACACCTATGGCATGTAAGGATATATTGTACCATACTGTTAGTTTAATTCTGAAACAGTAAATATAAAAAGTAGTACATAATTTTTTAACTATGTACCTTCAAATGCAGTCATGGTGAATTATCAAATAATTGTCAATATCAGTTTGTTTTATTCAGAGATCAGCATGGAGATCCACAAGGCTCCGGTTTTAGGCGATACCAAAATCATGCCGCTACATCGTAGCGGCAAGTCTGGAAGTAGAGTTATGTGATCATCGCCTCCGCCGACAATGCGAATCCCGTCGTAGCCGAGCTAAATGTGAACACGACCGCGTAGCTTGGCGGGCAGAGGTTCTCCGCTACTCACCGCTGGTTCCCAAAGCAACTCTTAAAACGAGACCGGGAACTATAGAACTTCTCAAGAATTATTGAAAAAGCCTATTGTTGAAGAAGAAAAGTTTAAAGTGGTAGCGCATGTAACATACCACACGTATATTATATTGTAGTGATATATTTTAATATATTTCTAATGGCATTGATATTACTAATCTTTCGCGAGCTATATATGTGCATCTGTACTTTGTATACTGTATCATTATTGCATTTGTTGAATAAATTATCTTGTAACTCTTATACACGTTGATATTAAGTTGCCCTATGCGAATATCCCAGAGTACGAGTGAGTTCTGTCTCTCTCTTACTCTCCTCCGTCCTAACTGCATCCTTCACCTACTACTAATATAGTTTGAAATTCAATTCTCGAAATTGCACCTCTGGGAGGCTGTATCTCAAGGCTTTTTCCTTGAAATTTTGAAAGATCTCTTAATGCAGAGAGTTAGAATGGTCCATAGAAGAGGCTGGTACAGGTTAGATTGCGATAGGGCCAGTTTCAAAAAATTGCTTTACTTTTTAGTACTCGCACACTTTTTTTTGAATTTTGAAGTTATCAGGCATTCATAGTAGAGAATTTCCATTAGTTCGAATTTTTGCCGATAAGAGGGCAGCACCTCCTGGGTGTGGCGACCAACGAGGCAGCAGCCAATCAGA